TTTGTCCCTCGGGGAAAGCTAGCCCCGAGGGATGAGGAGGGTCTATGTATATACAGTGGGACACGCGAAAGCGGGACGCGTGGGTTTCCGTTGTGTGTAGCAATAGGGTCGGTCCCCAACTCTGTATGTGCGAAAAGTGCGTGCTTGTTTTCTTTTAGTTTATTGGTTACTTTTCCTTATCACATAGCTTTAGCGCCTCTTGATCTTCTCACTTAATGAAATATCATGCCTGCAGATGATTTCTCGTATTTCGTTTGACCCGCACCGACTACGCCATATTTGCCAATCAACCGAGGCCACGGCATGTGAACAAGTTCCTCCTGAAAGGGGCCCACCCAGTACTCTACGCCATCTCTTACCTCATTCTATAGGCTCGCCCATATTAAACGTCTCGTTTTTATCTCTGCATATGGCACCATCTCGTGGCATGTCCTTGCGCAACAAATCACTCACTCACTCGCTCACTCATTCACTCACTCACTAAATCAATCCATCATGAAATAAAAACGAAACTGGGATTGCACTGCATGCTTCACTGCATGACAAACAAAGCTAAACCAGAACTATATACGTAGCGCTAACTCTTGGGTTATAACGATTGTGACGGGTCAGCACTCGTCTGCGCATGCGTCGCGGATGACAACGGCGCACTCTTAATTTATCTAGGCTAGGCATTCCTGCAAGTCGAATCTCTTTTGCTGTCACGTGCGTGCATGGCGACGACTTCTAAAGTGGATGAAGCCTGTATGTAAATGTATAATGAAGTGAGTAATGATATCTTCGTATTCCAGCCCAGTTTCTCAACCTTCTGGCAATTACACTGTGTCACACTCTTTTTGTATTGTTTTTGTCACACTCTTTTTGTCACTATTTTTTGTATGTTTATATGTTTTCTTTTCAAGGTTTTTTTAGAAATTTAACACCTTTTTATTATTACCTATATAGCCTAATTAATCCAACCCTCTCTTTCAAGAAGTGAATTAACTTAAAAAGCAAGGCACCGTCCCATTCATGGCCTATCACCCTAGGTGGGTTGCGCCGAGGTGTTGAGGAACCGACCGACCGACCGACTGACCACGGCTTTAGGAGCCTCGCCCCTAAAAGCATGTTTATTGACAAGTGATCTGGTATTTGAACCTACAGCTGTTGGGCTGGCACATGGCACGATAATGTTTGGTATTCTGGCAAAGGAAACCTAGCAGGGGTATATTGAGAGCCTTGTTTGTATAACATGTTCACAGTGTTAAGCGAGTGGCACTAGCATGGCGAGGACCGGGCGTGGAGTGCTTGTGCATGTGTGTTCTCTTTGTCCCGTCCTAGAACCTGATTTTTTTCTGTTTTAGCTGGCTTGCCAAGGAGAGCTTGAGGTTTACATTACCTCGGCCGCTCCATTTCTTTAAGTTCCGCAGAAAAGAAAAAAAAAAAACGTTGTGGCTGTTTACGTCGGTGCTTTGGCGCTTGCTCATCTTGAGGCGTGGCCGGCTGGGTAGAAACATTGATTGCGGCGTAGTTTGGGAAGGTGAATCTTGTAAGTTTTTCTGTTTAGTAGCTTGAAGTAGCCCTGCAACACTTTTCGAAATAACCATCCAGTAGCTTCATAAGAGAAATTCATTGCCCCACGAATTGATCTCCGCAATCATTTTTAGAATCCCTCCATAATAATAACTATAACTGCTGGTGTTTAACGTCCCAAAACCGTCATATCACTGCGAGAGACGCCGCAGTGGAGGGTTCCGGAAGTTTCGTCTATCTGGGGTTATAAGTAAACGGGCTTTTAGACTCTTTCAAGCATGAGCGTAGTTTATGCATGTATTTATCGCACTCTGTAATTGCGTTCTCTCTTCTCGACGAGCGTACCGTAAGCTAAGCAGGGAGGGATGGCACCAGAGAATGAAGTTACGTCACACTCACGTCATGACCTTGAGCACTTTTTATTTCTTAGAATGCGTGACTTACTTTCAAATTGACAGAACCCGCGCGGGCGGTCACATTGAACCATCGACCGCCGCAAGCATAATATTCAGACTTTGTATATTAACTCTACACGGCCGCAAGTGAGGCTCTAGTGCATACTACGGTGGCAGTTGATCGTCTGTAAATTTCTTCTGGGAAGTTTACATATGCTTCGTCGATGCCCTGATTCCACATGTAGTGACTGCATGACTGCTGATATATCTACTGAACCAAATGCCTCCTCGTATAATCTATGAAGGCTATGCATTGTGGTTGGGTGTATTCTGAGCATTCTCTATGTCCTGATTGATAGTATGAATGTGGTTGATTGTTGAGTAGCCCGTTCGAAATTCTGCTTGATTCATCGGTTGACTGAATTCGAATGTTGTCTTAATTCGGTTAGTAATTACTTTTGTAAATAGCTTGTATACGATGGAGATCAAGCTGATTGGCCTGTAATTCTTCAAGTCCTTGTCATCCCCTTTCTTGTGGATTAAGATGCTATTAGCAATCTTGCAAGATTTCGGTATCCTCCCCATCAGAAGCTACTTCATAAACAGGGTGGCTAGTTTTTTTTTTTCTTTCTACAAAATTGGTCCTCCGTCTTTCAGCAGACCTGATGTTACACCTGATCCTCGCCAGCAGCTTTGCCTCTTTGCTTTACTTCCAAAACTTTCCTGACTTCTGTCATTACTGGAGGTATGTCATCTGGGTTACTGCTAGTACTTTCATTATGGTCGTGGTTGTCCAAGCTGCTCTACAGATATCTGTAAACTCCTCCACTAATTTAACTACCCTATCCATGTTGGTAGCCACATTGCCTTCATTGTCTCTTAGTATACATACATCCGGTTTTTGCCTATCCCAAGTTTCCTCTTCAATGTTTCGACGATTCCTCCGATCTTTAGTGCATGTTAATTTTCTCCATGTTGTACTTCCTTACATCAGATACCATATGCTTAATTACCACATTCGAAAGCTCTGCCAGTTCTATTTTTTCTGTTGTGTTGGATGAGGTTCTTTCTCCTGCGACAGCTTTCTAGTGTCACGTCTAACTACCTTACGTACCCCCAACTTCCACTGCTCCGTAATGATACTCGTCAGATTATCATTCATTGTGCCAATGCCAATGGTTGGTTTTCTCGATAAGAGCCAAATATGTGTTCTGAAGCGAGACTTTGAATTCCTGAACTTTCTCTCTCAGTGTTGGCTCATTGATTTGCTTCTTGCGTATCAGTTCCTTCTTCAGGTCTAGGTGAATTCGAGACTTTGCCATTCTATGATCGCTACATCGTACCTTCGCAAGCACTTCCAGATCCTGCACGATTCCTGGGTGCGCACTCAGTATAAAGTTTATTTCGTTCTTACTTTCGACATTAGGGCTCCTTACGGTTCACTCGTTTTCGGTAAAAGGTATTCAAAATCCGTAAATTATAGTGTTCTGCGAATTCTACTAATAACTCCCCTCAGGCAGTTCTAGTACCGATGCCATAATCTAGCATGAAGTCGTAGACTTAGCGTTTCAAGCTTCTCTCTGAGGCCCCGTGTCAGTTCCTGCAATTATCCATCGATTGTATCTCAATGCGTACGGACTTATATTTCTACGCAATGGTTGAATGGACGATAGTTATAGCGCGAGAACAAAACGACGACACAGAGACGAGTCCTTCGTGTCCTTCTTGTCTCTGTGTCGTCGTTTTGTTCTTGCGCTATAACTATCGTCATGCCATACCAACTAGCCCAAGCTGCCACACTTCTGGGTGAACGGAGTCGCGGTAGTAGTTCACATCTTGTCAGTAGTGTATTCTTGCAAGCTTAAGTAGTTATTCCAGAAATTAACTGGCGATTACTACGCCTCTGTAATATGTCTTCGAAGTGGCATCGCTCCGCTGCACCGCGCGATTACTACGCCCTAAATACGTATAATGGCGCATCAGACACGTATTCACAAAGGAATAATCTAAGACGACACATTGGTGTGGTTGTCACGCAACACAAATAGATGCTGAGCCACGGACTGATATCAGAACGTCAGGCTTGTTTTCCGACGCACGGAGATAACTAGCAGACGACGCCACGCACGTCATGGCGCCATTTTGTCTACTCTAATGGGTAGCACTAAAACCCGCGACAAACTATAGTGTGAAAACCTGTAAAACCTGAAAAACAATTACAGTAAAAAATATGTATATAATAACTTACCAAAAACATTATTACTTGTCAGAAATTTGTAAAACACGTAGTGATGTTTTATGTATTTTTAAACACAATCAAGACGCATTGTTTTTTTGTATTTTTGTAGCAGTGGAAATTCTATATGCAGATCATTTCAAACCGAAAAACTTGTGCGTTCACAATTGACTCAGAAGATGGCGCTAGGCGTGTAACTTCAACTTGACATGAACGTTGACATAAAGTATAAGTAAAACATTGGTTAAAAGAAACAGAGCGCTCGTGTGCTCATAACTTAACTTGTTGCATAATTGGTGTCGATATGTGAATGTGCTTGTCATTGTGCGGTCGGTCTGAGCACCAGTGCCAAGAGTTTGTAATAGGATGCTGACAACGAAAATAAAATAGTGAGTGTAAAATTGGGCCATTTCAGGAGTGTTAACCCACTTGCTTTCAATCGACCAGCCCGATCTCTCGGCTTTGCTATTTGAGCTTTCATTTCTGCATAAATTTGTCAGAGTCGTTAGCGTCATAAGGAATCTGCCAGGGCTTCTGGCGCCATCTGCCCTATGTACTGAGAAGCTCGCTGTGGAAGCAGTAGAAATACAACAAAATAGCTGCCAGGTGCAATGGCAGAATTTTATGGGTGACACCGAGTCAACACTACTGCGGTGTAGGAGAATGTCACATTCACTGTGTTCTTTAGGCGTAGGTGGGATTTTATGAACCTAGTCACCATTTATACAAACTGGTGAGTATCCGATTCACGGATTGTAAGCCTAATTATTGTTCAGCGTTCCGCATTCGTATCAATCATCCGCGCGTAGGTCGTGCCGTAGGCGCAGTCGATCGGCTTTTGCGTCGCGTGTAGTTTCCGCCAGTGTACACGGTTGTAATGTTGTTTTTTAATCATAACACACGTTGTGAAAATCTGCCAATATGGTAAGGTTGTTTGCAGCGAGCCCGTGGCATTACGTCGGGGATCGATAACCTCTCGCTTCGCTTGTGTTGGCTAGGGTGGTGTGTGCGCTCCTCAGTCGTTTTGCGTATTTGGGCTATTTCGTGCTCTTCTGACCGTGCGATCGTAGCATTTGTCTGTGGCCACGCCGAGTTTAAGTGCATATGAAGCAGCTTTTAGTATTTCTGTAGCGTCTAGCTCACGCCTTGCTAGGCTGCGCAGCGTTGCGACATGGAAGTGGTCCGTGTGTGCTCGAGAGATCGCTACACGCCCTACGCGATTAATCACTCCTGACTGTTTACCCCTCGGCTGGGGTGCCTTGCACAGCGTTCGCGACTGTTTTACGCGACGAGCGCCTGCACGAGGCTGCGCACTGCCCCGACAACGCGATGCATTCTGCAAGTCCACGGCCGTGCAAAGTGCGTGCCGCGTTTCCGTGGTGTCGGGTTGCAGACCCCCACGGAGTCCGACTCGCACACTCTCGTATGCCTGCAGGAAGATCGTGCCCGTCCCGTGGAATGTCTCATGCCGGAGGTGACGGCGGCGAACGAAACCGTGTCCTTGCCACCGATGGCTGATGCACGCCTCTGACATGCGGTCGGCGAGCTGTTGACAAAGTGAGTACACAATGCGTGTGTCAGCAAATTTCCGGTGTGTGTTACTGCTGTGCACTTGAGTGTGCACTGCCCCGTAGCGTAAACAGCGCCTTTTTGCATCCGCGCGAAGGTTGACAAGAAAAGCTTGCAGACATAAATAAACTGTGAAGCGATCAGACCTCCGCGTAAAATTGAAGTCTCGCCTATTGCTATCGAATGCAGCTCGCGCACACTTTTGTATCGTGGTAAGTTTCTTCTCAGTAGCCAACAGGTTAGCGCAAACTTTGTCATTCGTTACAAGATCTCATGCATCGGCATTTATATTTTAGCTGTAAACGTCTAATTAACGTCAAGCACAGATCATGGAAGGCACCGTTAGTTTCTGATCTTGGAAAGGCGCGAAAGCTTTTACAACTGTTTCCTGCATTGAGCCCTGGTTAAAGGTATGGAAAGTATAGTAGAGCACTAATTGTAGTAGTGCTGAAAAGTAGCAATATTGGACTCTGGTGCAACACCAGCCGTAGCACAGCTAGTGACAACTTTGTGAGGTCCGCATTTTACCCATTGAATCTGAAATTCAAGCTGTATAGATAAAATTCAGCCTAGTAACCTTGATTTTTTCTTTAAATCAGCAAACTTCTACAAATGTGCTTGTTGCAATAGATGACTTTTGAAGTCAACCTGCATTGGTGTTTCTGAGTGCAATCAATGTATGTAGCCTGTTTGAATGTAGCTGGACCAAGCTCAACTGTCAGTAAAAATGTAATTATTTATAATATTTGGGAGATTGAATTGCACTAACTCAAGCACTGGAACAGGTGTAGTAATATGTAGCACACAAATTTCACTTGGTAGGTGCAAAAGTCATGTCATGCAACTGTAGAAATCACTATTTGGTACCTTGGGAAGTACGCAAGGATTGAGAAATAGGCTCATGATTTGAAAACAGCTTTAGCAGCACAAAACCTCAAAGAACTTCGAGCTGATTGTACCTTCACAAAATCGTGTACAACTAACTAGCCCGCCAGTACCTCCTTGACCATGTTCCTACTTCGCTTACCACCAAGGAAAGTGTTTTTGCTGGTGGTAGCAGGCAGCGAGCAATGGAATTTAAAAGGAATCAAAACAGTCTACAGCTCGCAGTGTGCTTTGTCGCTTCGGGTGCACATGTTGGTCACATTGGTTACAATAACTGAAGCACATTTTAATCACTACAGTTGCAAGGCATAATAGCACTGCTGAAAACCAGTAATGCCGTGAGGGCACAAACCAAGCACCAGACACAATAGCTAGCTGCTGGTATACTATGAATGCACTTATTGTGATAAACATTGTGAGGCAGTGGTAAGCTTGATAAGCCCTCTCATTATTTCATGTGTCCATCATTGTGCTGCACTCTTCAAACACCTGTTTCACTTAACATTTGTTTGTGTAATGATGAATTGTGATGGAGAGCTTGATCACCTTTCCTCTTGTTAGGCTGCTTCTTGATGCGACATTGCATCAGGAAAACATTCCCCATTTGAGCAATTGTTTCTTCTTTTTCGGCTAACATAGATAACACCAACTCTTATCCAAATAACAACAATTTCTAAAATTCTTTTAAAGCAGCTCAGGTATATTATTGTTATGATGACTAGCTTATCTTCAACAGTCATTTGTGTTTGAGCAGGGAAATACTGGCACATTGTTCCAAATTCATTTGTCAATCGTCATAAATGAAATTGAATTATGCCATGTTTTATATTCATTTGTCAATCATCATATATGACTTTGAAATATATTATGCTACCATAATTCTCGAGCAAGTGCCTCTCCCACGGTGAAAGATAAACCAACAAGATTTGGAGGTAGGTACACACCCATCAAACACCCACGTAGAAAAAAGAGTGTTAAAGTATACGAACACCCTAACATACTAGTTTGATCCAACGAGATATGGAAGGCCTTGCTCATTTATGGAGCAAAATGCAAGATGGCAGAGAAAGAGCCACTAAGATTATAAACTACACACCCGTAGTTCTAATGAAATGCTTTATTGAGTACGTATGCATTCATTGTTTCCAACATAGGGAATGAAACAGTAAAAATAGCGGTAGTAGATGGGGGGGGGTGCATGCTCTGTCATTGGCACATATTGCAGATCTGTCGAAGAAAAACAGGGGCACTTGCATAGGTGGGGGTGCTTGCTCAAGATTTTAGAGTATATGAATTTTTGAAATGTCTGAAACTGGCTATGAAATAATAGTGTAAGATTATTTACGAAAATATTTAAGCAGTATTTACGTTCCTACACTAAATTGATTTTTTTCTGATCTAACAAAACTTTCCTAGTAAATGATATAAATATATAATTTGAACAAATCACTTCTGATAATGTTCAGTACTTTTGTTGAGGATGGCAGTGCAATTTAAGGAATATTTTTGTGTGGTGATTTCATGTGCAGATGTTGCCGTCGGGTACAGAAGTGGTGGCCCGTTACAACTTCAATGGAAAGTCGCCGGAGGACCTGTCTTTTACCAAAGGGGATATCATGACCATCGTGTCTGAGACTCCGGTAGGAAACCACTGTGTTTTCATTTTTTCTTTCAATTCCAAAAGAGGTTTTCTGTATGGACTATAAAGGTAGAGTTTTGGCCAATGGCTGAGGTAATCTTTATGAATGTTGGTTAGGTTGAAATTGATCCAGCTGTTAGTTGCACGTTGCATGTGAGCAGAACCTAGCTCAAAAATCTTAAGTCTGTTCTGCAATTGAGAGTTGGACAGGTGATCCTGTTGAAATGAAGTGTGACCATGGCGACATTAACTTACAAATAAGCTTTAAAAAGCAAGATGTTTTCGTCTAAATATAAGCTATTTCGTCATCGTAGTGATGTCTGGAGCTTCAGAATCCCTTAAGTTGACTCTGAGGTTTTCCGTGAGAAAGTAGGGGGAATAAAGAGAAAATGAAATGGGCTACAAACTATCGTTGTAATATTAACTGACTCTTGAGTACTGTCCTATTCAATCCTGTTCAGTCACTTAATGATCATCTTATTTATTCACATACTATAATTTGAATTGACTTAATAGGATGTTTATCCCCATCCTATTCAATCACTTAATGTTTACTCATTCGTTCTACTGTCATATGTGGCCCCGCCACGGTGGTCTAGTGGCTAAGGTACTCGGCTGCTGAGCCGCAGGTCACGGGAATCGAATCCCGGCTGTGGCGGCTGCATTTCCGATGGAGGCGGAAATGTTGTAGGCCCGTGCTCTCAGATTTGGGTGCACGTTAAAGAACCCCAGGTGGTCGAAATTTCCGGAGCCCTCCACTATGGTGTCTCTCATAATCATATGGTGGTTTTGGGACGTTAAATCCCACAAATCAATCAAATCAATACTGTCATATGTGTTGTTGACTTTCTGAACTCCCGACCCTTTTTAGAGAAGAAACTATGAGGCGCATGGAGATGTGTTGTTGACACACTTTAAAATTTCTGCACGGGCCGATTTTTCCAGCTAGAGCCTGGCCCAAAAAACTTCATGCTCCGGCCCGCTCGAGCCCGGTCTTGTGTTTTTAAATACAACCCATACCCGGCCCATTTCAGTCAGTTATGCCTTGAACATAAACGAGGCACTGTCCACTCTTCGGTTATTGTGAAGATACCAGCCTCACATAAAATATATTCTTGTGAGTGCTTTGTAACTTCTTTAAGGGGAGACGCGGGTCGAAAAGTCGCGGTTTTCCGGAAAATTTTCGCTTTTTTTTTTCCGGCTGTATTGGCATCCTTGGACTATAATCTATTACTTCTGAAAATATCAAGCTGAAATTCGCACGAGAAATTATCAAAAAATGCTTCCAAGTGGGCAGCGGTGACGCGAGAAACGCGCGAAAGTCGCGAAAAACGGCGAAGTTCGCGTCGTCCTGTTGCGAAAACGACGCGTTGGCCGCCATTTGCAATCGTGCACGCATGCTGCGAAGGCCGTATCCTTCATAATCCACTAGTAGCCAGTCTCGTGCCTTCACGCAGAATAAACAAAAAACGAGAAAAACAACGCGTACAACACGCGTTTTGAATATCGCGGCACACAGCGCGAGGCCGCCATTGGACGGCGGTGCGCTCCACGCTCCTCCCCCTCCTATCTCTCCGGCAAAAGAGCGAAGCCTCGGACGTCGCGATCGAGTTTTTCTGCGTTTCTCTGCATTTTTGCGTCATGGCAAGCCCGAAGAAGTGCAGTTCAGATAATCGAAAGTTCAGAACTCGCCACAAGTATCGAGGGAAACGGCGTCGGACGCTTCGCAAAGCGACAGCGAACGACGATGTCGCCCCCGACCAACGCTCCGACTTCGGATAGGCCTAACACCGTCACCGAACCCTGCGACAGTGGTTGTGAAATAGCCGCTGCCGTGGAATTCGTCAGTGCATCCCAAAGGAAGATTGGATTCTTCGAGAGTGAACGTAGACCGGTAGATGCTGCTACTGCGAACACGCTGCTTTGCGAAATCGATGCGCTGACGGCACTTGTGGCGGGTGCGCAATGCCCAACCTGCCGCGAATGGAAGCTTGGCGTGCGAGAGGCAGCTGGAAAGCACAAAGGACTTTCGGCATTCCTCGAACTGTGCTGTCGAAATTCTGATTGCCCTGAATCTGCACTTTCGTTCACGCACACGTCGAGACGTACTGCTTCGGCCGGGGACCAAGGAACGAGCGCTCGTTTTGACAGCGGCAGCTCGCGTGACAGCTTTGCTGTAAACGTGAAGGCAGTTCTGGCAGCACGCGCTATAGGCGCAGGCCACGACCAACTTTCACGATTTTGTGCGATTCTCGGTCTTCCGAGCCCGATGCATCACAAGACATTCAACGGCATTTGCAAGAAGCTCCATGGTGCGGCGATGACGGCAGTGAGCAAAAACTTGCACCAGGCACGAAACATCATGAAGGACGCAGTCGGCGGCAGAGATGTGCCAGTCATGTTTGATGGCACCTGGCAGAAAAGAGGTCATAAAAGCCACAATGGATTGGGCACAGTCGTGTCCCTGGACACGGGGCTCTGCCTCGATTTTGAAGTTCTTTCGAACTACTGCCATGCTTGCAGTATACACAGGGACCTTGGGGAGGATGAAGTGATATGGCGAGCTTTTCATCTTCCAGTTTGCCAAAAAAACACTGACTGCTCATCCCATGCAATGGAACCTGCGGCAGCTGTCAATATATGGCAGAGGACCTTGTCTTATGAAACTCCACTGCGATTCACCAGCTTCCTAAGTGATGGTGACAACAAGGCCTACACTGCAGTCTGCGAGGCAAATGTATACTGTGACACCCCCATTGACAAAGAAGAGTGCACGAACCACGTTGCAAAGCGCTTGGGAACTGCCCTACGGAAATTGGCAACGCCACTGCCACGAGGCGAAAAACTGAAAGATGCGACAATAATAAAACTACAAACATATTACAAGATCGCCATCACGAGCAATAAGGACAGTGTCCGAAATATGTACACTGCCATATGGGCATCGTATTTTCATTGCTGCTCCAGTGATGGTGCCAGTAGCCACAACTTTTGCCCCGCGGGACCAAATTCGTGGTGCAAGCACAAGCGTGCGGAAGCACTGGGGGAGCCTGCACCACGCCACACCCCACTGTTGACGAAGGCTCAAGGATTGGCAATTATGCCTATCTACAAGCGCCTTACAGAGGAGAAACTCCTTATTCGGTGCCTTCATGACAAGACGCAGAATGCAGCCGAATCGCTGAACAGCAAGATATGGCTGCTATGTCCAAAAACAAAGTTCGCCTCCAGAACAACTGTGGAGACAGCCACCACTCTTGCTGTACTCTGGTACAACAAAGGCCACAGGGGCTTTTAAGAAGTGCTCGAAGGCATTGGAATTCTCCCCTCACAAGATCTGGTCACACATGGTGACCACTGTGACGTCATGCGCATCAGGAAGATGAACCTGAAGCAAACTGCAGAAGCGAGGGCACACCGTCGCAACACAGCGAAGAGAGCTCGTGTTGAGGACACTGACCGCAAGAGCCGTGAAGGACCAAGCTATGGTGCAGGGGACTTCTAGACACTTGCAGTGCATTCAAGGCAAGGTACTTTTCATTGTGCCCCAATTTGATGCAAAAAGAATGATTTCCTAATAAATGCCAACTTTGCGAACTTTCAAACTTGTTTTTCTCATTTTCATTTTTTCTGACAGTTTCACGTTTTCCGGGCAGCCTTTTAGAAACTTATATTCATTGTATAGTAACGAAACTTGGCACACATATTCTTCAACACATGCAGAATGCAAATATCTACTCTAAATTGCAATGCCTACCAGCATTAGTTGTGAAAATATTAGCTTATTGTTTCAAGGGAGATTGAAAATAATAAGTCATTCAATACAATTTTTTTTCTTGGTTCCAATATTTCTGTGACATATCTATATAGATATTTGCACTTTTCAATCTACCAAGAGTCAAATAAGATCAGACACAGTGCTTTTACTGAAAGTTTAGTACATAAAAGAATGGCCGCAAAAAATGTAACTTTTTGCTATTGTTTACGGCATAACTCAATAGTTATAGCAGCTACACAAAAAATGATTGCATATTTGAAATCTGCATGAAAAACTATACTAATAACAAACTTTTCAAGTCTCTATTACTAGAAATAAAAAAAAAACTTTTTCGAGGAGCATCTCCCCTTAAGTGTCACGACTTTCACTGGTATGCTTTGTATACATTCAGTGAATTACGCCCGTAACACTTTCGCGAAGTGATTGCAGGGTAATTAAAATGCAATTGTATTCATAGTTGGCTGTCTCATGTACGCAGTGCTAACCAAACAATATTATTTTTGCATTTCAAAGAACGACTACAAAATATGCTACCCCAATAAAGTGGAAAAAAAGCAGACATTTATAGTTTGAGTCTACATAAATCGCATGCGAGCCGGGGCTGTTGAGTAAAAAAGTAACAAGTCTTCTGCAAACACCATTTATTATGCCATGCAATTAAAGGAACATGTTCTAGCTACCTCTGGGAGGAACATGCCAAGCTGGGCAGCGTTACATAAATTAAAACTGTGGTGTCGACTCCTTAGCTGCCTCCAATGCATATTATGTTTTCGCGCTCAAAACAAGATGGTTATTTACGCCACCCTTCTTCCTCGAGTCGCTGCCACCACAGTTTCGTAGATGTCAAAGTGGGCCACACCCATTAGCAAGCGAGCATCCTCGTTCCTTGAAGACGTCTATCTCGTCTTCTTGTGACAGCCTTAAATCATTGAAAGTGTTATGTGTTTGTGGGAAAATCTCTCTGGAGCTTTTATTGGCACTCAGCGAAGTGCCGTCTACAACATGGCCTACATTGGAATAGTCCAAGAACAAACAAGCCTCTGCTCCACTGCCCTCCTTTGTCTCTTCAGTCTGTGTCACGTGCTATTTTCTATATACATCCTTCGCCCTGATAATTTCACTAACCTTTCCTTAATATTCTCTGCAGGCAGTATTTTGCAGTCTGTATCATTCTTCCACAAATCCTCCCCACAACGAATAACGCTCGGCTACAATTTTAATGTTATTTGCATGAGTGTGGAGAAGTCCTAGAACAATATGTCTCAAAAAGCCTCGACTTCAGTTCACAACTATATTTCTTAAATGTTACTTATTGAAATGGGAAACCCTGTGCGATAAAAGGATGAAAAAGCCTTCGGAGATGCTTTAGCCTGAAATGCCACTTTACATGTGTGCACTGCTCCAACTGGCACATGTTTAACAATGACAATATACGCTTTCACAGTAGGGACTCCCCCCCCGCAGCCTTCAGGCACAACACTGTAGACGTTGTTGACTTGAAGCAGCTTCGATAGGGACCCACTGTCTTGTGGAAAGGTGGTGAGAGCTGTTGAGGGAGCATTGAGTCAAAATCGCGTGCATGCATCAGAATTACCGTGGGCTTGTTTAACTCGTGGGTGCTGTTTCAGCAACCAGAACCATTCACATAGCTCAGAGAAAGTGCCATGAAGGCCACCATCACGACGGCGTCGTTGCATGTTGCACCAAACAGCGCATCTACCATTCACTTCAAACACGCTTTCAATGAAAATGTATTTGTTTAATTTCTTTAATTACTGCTATAAATAATGTTTGTATAATCTAAAGAAGTCCTTTTAGAAAAGGAAAGGCAAAGCCGCAGGTAACACGCGAATGCCTCCTTTCTGTAATTTTTAAATAATTGTAGCCATGTTTGTTGAAACGCCCTGTATATGAGACCCGGGCCTAATACAGGCCTGGCTCGGGTCCGGCTCGACTTGAGCCCGAAGCTCATGGACCCGAGCCCGACTTGGACCCGAACGAACAATGCCTTACCTGGCCCGGCCCGGGCTTTTGGGCTGGCCTGGCCCTGTGCGGTCTCTGGAGTATGTGTGATATGAGGATTCCCGTGCCTAGTGCGTTTATAGTATGCATAGTCACCTTTCATCTGCATTCTTTTATCTCTGCCATTTCTCCTTACCCGAGTGAAGAGTAATAGGCCAGGCGTGTGCTTCAGGCCGATCACTGCTCCTTTCTCTGTGTGATCTTCCCCTCCTTAGCTGTACTGCATCATCTCCCTCTTTTCAGGACTGCAACTGGTTCCGGGCACGGCATAGTGATGGGCGTGAGGGCCTGATACCACTCAACTACATCCTCCGAAGGGCAGAGGTCAAGCTCAATTCCATGCCGTGAGTTGGACATTGTTGCACACTCAATGAGCTTGCTCCATTGCTTCAAATTGTGCAGAGTGCGAGACTGTAAACAGAGGTGCTTAACGAAACGCTGTTTGCAACAGCTTATCTTTTTCAGTCACAGCTTGCAACATTTCATGTACAGGAGACTTTTCAGGTCTGAATACAACAGCTTTGATGTCGCTGTTAGCACCGCACGTGCTGTAACTTTTAATAATTTCTAGAGTACAGTTAATGCTGGATACATCTAACTAAAACATGATAACAAAATAATATATAGTTCAATATATTGATAGTTCAATATAAAAATATTTAGCTTTTAAGACTAATATTAATGGATCGCAGGTTTCCAAACGGTTTTCAGGCATCGTAACAAGTGCTAACTTGATGATTAGCTTATAGTGTGTGAAAGAACAAGCTGACAACTTCTTTTGCATGTTACCACCCATTATTTCGCATGAAGATAGTTCGTAAACTTGTTTTGCTTCTTGCACGCCATCAAGTTCATCAGGGCATCCTCTATATCACTGAAGTTTCCCGAACAAGCAAATTAAGCATCTTTGGTCACAAGTGCGGGGGCTGACGCTGATCGACATCGCAAGTAATCGGGCGTGGTAAAAGGTTGTTTAGTGGTGGTGCTGGCATTCTCATGACTTCACGGGTCCCCTTTTATGCCACCAGTAACGTCATCTATGATCTCAGCATTGATGCAGTCTGAAAAAGCTGAGTCATCTGCACCGACAAAGTCGCTTACCCTGTGCCCATCTGAGGTGGCACCCGTAACATGCTAATAAGTTGCAAAACTTATGAGGCTTCAGTACGCCATTGTGAGAAGTCATGATGCACCCAAAGTCGTAACCTGGCTTCCAAAGCCCACAAGGAAATGGTTCACGATGATGCTTTGCTTGACATAGTTCCAAAGAGGAGTCGTTATTCTTATCGCTGCGAGCGGGTCAATGTTCGGCTTGGCCCCCAAATGAGGATCTACCGGGAACGAAACAGGAAGCACGCCACTACCACTAGCTGCAAGGGACACAGCTGCCCTCAAACAACAAAGAAAGAAATCTCAATCGTTGAAATCTTTCAGATGGTGATAGCACTTGTGGCTTTGCAGCAGGCAGCCGATGCTTTGGCACAGAAAGCAAGAAAAGGCGTAGCCTCCGAAATGTGTGTTCTATAATGAAAATACAAAATATGAGTCACGAGGTTTTGTATCTCGAACGCCATGCTTTTGGCAGCACTCATGCTATCATTCACAAAAGAACAAGGAAAGAAATGAGAATGAGACTGCTTAGTCTCTCATCATTTATCTCACTCTGATGGCCTCTGCAATCGGTCCCTTGGAAAAACACTCTGGCCATGAGTTGCTGCCTTTGATCGCGCATCAAATAAGCTAGTGCACTCGGAAGCACTGCTTGCGCACTCAGATCAATGCAATAAGATATACTCAAAAGTCTTTATGACAAAGTGGCAGCTTACATAAAAATAAGTTCGTTATATTCGAAAATTCATTATAAAGGTTCATTTTTAACACTAGCTATCGTAAGACTATATTTTATTTACTTCGTTATAATAGTTATTTTGTTATATCTGGGTTCGTTATATCGAGGTTCGAGTGTAGTGCCTCTTTTTTGTCACTTGCACGCAAAGGGGGATCGGAACTTGTTAGAACATGACCTAAATATAATCAGTATTTTTTTAGAAAAGATACACTTTCTGAACTTCAGCCTGGCGCAGGGTTGATATAATGCATGTTTCGATGTGCAGTAGTTTGATTTATGTAGGCACCAGCCCCATACTTTTGCATGGAGAATTCAAGGGAATTTCTAAACTGTTTGATATAGCCAATAATTAGATATCCAAGTTTGATATATCTGGGATCAACTGTATTGTGTTCTTGACAGTACCCACCTCTTAAACGAATGATACAGGAGCTTTCATGTATTTCCTTCATTGAAACAACTCAGAAAATATTTATCAAGACTTTGCTGCATGAACATGAACTTTCCTGCCATGTCATTAGCTTGTTTTTCTATTGGTGTAAATGGCTAAACTAGAGTCTGTGCACGCAATGAATAACCACCCTCAAGTAATGTCGCAGAAGATAAATGTGCTGCTGTGTGCCGTAAATTGCCGTCTTTAAAAAAGGCAACAAGCATTTATACTCGAATTACCGACCCATTTTCATTATCCCATTATTCAGTAAAGTCATAGAGAAGCTTTTTGTGGGATGTATAAAGAGTTATTTAGACAAGTTCCATATTCTTTCTAATGAGCAGTTTGGTTTCAGGCCCGGTTACTCAACTGAACTTGCTATGATATTTCTAACCGACAAAATTAAATCTTCTATTGACAACGGTTGTGTCGTTGGTGGTGTTTTCCTTGACCTTTCAAAGCCATTTGACTTTGTGTCCCACGTCATTTTATTTCAGAAATCAGAGTCAATTGGTGTATCTGACATCCCACTAGAACTGATTTGTAGCTATCTGCGTAATCGTGAACAGTTGGTATATGTGTCCCGTACCTTTTCCAGCCCTAAATTCATCAATTCAATTTTTGTTTACCAGAAAACAATCTGGTGGGACACCTGGGCAAGAAGCTGTCGCAGCAGCTTGACGAAAACCCAGAGTCCCTTACATAGCAATAGCACATATATGACACATGTCAACAAGTGTTGACATGTGTCATCATTATTGGTGTTCTGCAGGGTTCAATTTCGGGCCTGCTTTTATTTTTAGTTTACATCAATTATCTTCCTCATTACCCCGCTCATTCGTCCTGCATTCTCTGTGCGGACGATACCACTGTGTTAACTGCAGATAAAGAGATGCTGTTTAAATAAATGCTGTTTAAATTAAACACTCGATGTTGTTTAAGTTGAACACTGACCTGAAAAACATTGTTGAATGGTTCAAAAGGAATAAACTAAGAATAAATGCTAAGAAGTCAAACTTTGTGGTATTTTTGTCACCTAATCTAATTATACCTAGAAACGTCTCTGTCTACGTAAGCGATTCTCAAATCTACTCTACCTATAGTACAATGTTTTTCGAGGTCGAAATTGATGAGCATTTAAAATTTAATTCCCATGTTCTACAGCTTACGCTGAAAGCCACATATGCCATTCGAATCTTGCTAAAAGTTTGCCCCTTCTTTCGTTTTGAGATATTGTTGTCACTGTACTACGCTTTCTTTCACAGCAACATAATCTATTGCATTTCATCATAGGGAAACACATATGCCACTCATTTATCACCCATTCAACATCTTCTAAACCAAGCATTGAGAATAATAACGTTCAGTAGCTTCATGTCCAATGCATCATCCTTACGCCGTTCACATGGAATTTTATCAGTTCAGAAGCTGGCCAAATATTTTCTCTGCATTCTTATTTACTAATATGTGAATGGAAAACTTCCCATTCCTTTACTACACTCAAGTCAGTTTCCTCAGGTGTCATATACTCGTTTTGCAAAGGCTAATAACTTCCTTTTACCCAAACCCAGGACCAATTATGGCAAACTCACTATAAAATTTTCGGTTGTATTCTTGTGCAATTTTTTACCTTTGGAGATAAAAAGTAGACCCCTTGTAATGTTTAAAAAAAGCTTGTGTTCACACTTACTCAATTCTTAGTTCTTACTATTATACACAGTATGTTATTGCATATTTTTGTTCTTTTGTGCTTATTTGCATTTTTCTATCCATCGTGCTTATCTGTATGTTATATGTCTCAATTTATTTTTCTCGGCGTGATAATGCTTGATATTATACTGAGTGATTGTTATTGCATTTCTTATTAGTTTCTTTGTACTTATCTAGGCATTTTGTATACCTTATATTCGCTTTTTCGTACTTATCTGTACATTTATATGTTCTTATTTTTGTATCCCTACCACTGTTTACTATTGCGTTGTAACTCTGTTGAATGATTTTTTAGGAGGTCTCGCTCATAGTCTTGCGACTTTAAGACCTCCTTCTGTATTTGTAATCAACACATGCAATTTATCACATGTATTTCAATTTGGAATAAATTTCAAATTTTAAAAGCAAGAACATGGCTATTTCTGCTTTATTAAGCGACTAGAATAACATGAGATCTTTTAATATAATCAGAATTGCCAAATTTCATGGCCTACAAGTATGAAATTTAGTTTTTTCTTGTTCATTAAGTCTGTAGGTGCTGTGAGTGTCCGAAGGATCTAGCATATGTAATTTACCATTGGTGGCTGTTATAAGTTAGGCTAACATAAGGTTAATGTTCAGGGCTCTTGCTTTGTATTCTCAATTTCACCACAGTGATACAAATAAAAAAGCATGAAGTCTTGCAAATTGGGTATTATATTTCCCGAATCACATCTGTTTTGTCCTCTACTTTGTATACTCTGAGCAGTATTCATGAGGTGCTTTGACTTAAACTTAGTGAAACTTAGTAGGAGAATAGAATGTGGCATTGTGTAATTTACTCGGAGAAAATACTTTGCTCCACACGTGCTTCTCCCAGCACACTCTGGCAGTCTGCTGGGCTCTCAAGCAGCTAGCAACTCAGCTGCACCTTTATTATAGCATCAATTCACTAGTTTCTGATGGAGCAGAGATTTGGGCATCTTAAATGCAGCGTGACACAAGAGAAACACTTGTCATATCAAGGTTGCCCGATAAATAGTCAATGCAAGAAAGTGTGCTCAAGCAAGTAGCGGATCAGTAGCACTAATAAACTGCAATTAGATTATAAATAATTTAATGTGCTCCTAGTTTTTCATTTGTTGTTGTTTGTACAACCTTGGGCAACAAGTTCTTTTTATCTTTATGTCCTGTTTTACCTGTCCGATTGCTTATTGATTGAGGCTTAGCCTCATATGTCAAATATTTTGTGAACAGGCCATTGAAATGTTAAGAATGTACTTGTTGTTTCAATCGCATGTGTGCTTCCTTGATTGCTGGCGGTTCAGCCATAACTGAAAAGGAGGGATGGCATAGTCAATTAAATGTTCGTCATGAGCTGTCTTTCCTTAGGCAATTTTAATGAAATCGTAAAGAGAAAAAGTGGATCAGTATTTGACTGTATGTAAGTGTTTGCCTTCTGTTCCGGGGTGTAAGCGATCATTCCTCAATTTCTACTGCCTAATTTTTTCTTCGACTCAGATGGTTCCACGGAAAGATCAGTCGTGAGCGAGCAGAGATGTTGCTCCAGCCTCGGGAAGACGGGCTCTTCCTGGTGCGCGAGAGCACCAACTACCCCGGTGACTACACACTGTGCGTCTGCTTCCGTTCCAAGGTGGAGCACTATCGTGTCATCTACCGCATGGGCAAGCTCACCATCGACGAGGAGGAGTACTTCGAAGGTCCTACCACAACTCATCGAGGTCAGTGGTGCAGTGCATTGCTGTGGCCTAGCTCATCCTCCAGCTTTTTGTTTGCTGACCACTCTGCCGTCTCGCATTATCTGTTCCTGGTCGTGTTTTTCACAACCAAATGAATCCAACCAACAGTTAGGTCACAAAAGCAGAAGCGCCATTGGTTGTTGTCTTTTAACCGTAATGTAGTAATAGTGACAGAAATAGATCTTAGATGAACTAAAGTAGACGAAAAAAATCTCCATTTCCTTCAGTGGGTTCTGGACCCACAACCATTAAATCACGCATTCGATGCTCTTCCAATTCAAGATTGCAACAGCTGTGCACCAATTTGATACAATTCCTAATTTTTGCACCAAGCTGCACCAAAACCTTGAAATTTGCCGAAATTGTGCCACGCTGTGCCAAAATGATTGTACGCTAATTTCAGCGAGAATTGAAGGCCACATTGGCCACCTGCAGTTTGCGTCCTCAATCAATCCAGGGATATAGGCGCACCGACCCTTAACCTAAACGACGGCAGGAAATTCACGAAATATGATCGACCAGATAAAGTAACAACGCCGCGTTTGGTTACCATAGCAACGGCACATACGATAGATATGCGGTGCCGTCGCTGGGCCAGTGGGCGTGTGCTGGTATTACTTTATATAGTCAAACGAGTATTACAAGCGCGTTTGACTAGGTAAAGTTTGAAGTTGTGTCCTAAACCTAACTCCATCGTGGAAAACAATAGGGGGAGGCTGTAGCAGTTTGAAAATTTCTTGGCCTTGTCCTAACCCGTCCAGCACACCGCTTAAGCCACCTTCGCCGCAGTACATCATTGACCTGCAGAAAAGCGTTAAGATTTGGAAAGGGCTGTTAGTATTTGTCGCGGGACACAGCACAGTTTGTTCAATTACTCATGCATGTATACGCATCATAGTTGTGAGTACTAGTATGATTGCTGATGTCTAAAAATGTTGCTGGCAATTGTTTCGAGCACTGTATAACATTTGTGCAGCCCTAAAAGAAACAAAACTTTGCGCCAGTTTTTTTATCTTTTTTTTTAATCTTTTTTTTTTTTCACTCCTAAAGTCGCCAGCTTGGCAGATCCACATTTAAATCCTCAGAGTCTGCCAAAGGATTTGACTGGTATGGCAAATGCTAATGTGGACTTTATCATCATTCGCCAAGTGGTGTCGTTCAAAATACTTCACAATTTTGTTTTCTCTGCTTGAAAACCAGCATTATGAGCAAGATGCAGATGGGCTGTGTACACGTCTGTCACGCTCGGTGCCAAAGCAAGGTGGTGAGCTGGCAATTGATCACCGAGCCTTCGAGATGGCTGGCTGGGCAATCAAGAAGCAGGACCTGCAAGTTATCGAGAACATTGGCAAGGGCGAGTTCGGAGGTGAGATTACTGGAGTAATTTCTTGGCTGTTACTGTCTGTTCATTTGTCCCTTAACGGACAGACAAAATGGGTATAATTATCTGGTGAGGTGATAGAAAAAAAAATCGACCGCTGTTTGTTGCTGGAGTCGTGAATATCCACTTTAAGCAGTACTTCAGTATAACAAGAACATTTTTAAAAGGCTGGATATAAGCAAAACATGAAGAAAACACGGCCGCGCTATTCTGATTATTGAGGCATGTGACTAGGGCGTAAGTTTGATATGCTTAAATTTGAAAATGTTGAATAGTTAGGGCTTTTCGAGTGTACCTGCGGGGCCAACATAACAAACAAATGCAAAAAAAAAATGCACTGCAACTAGAAAAGTAGGCAGAAATTTTTTCAGGGGGGGGGGGGAGGGGGGCATCATGTTTATCTAAAATTGAGTCTGGGCAGGCAGATTGGGTCGAGTGTCATTTTGGGGTCTGTATGCCATGGCAAAAAAAAAGGGGGGGGGGGGGCATTGTGCGAGGCTGCTTGCACATGCTTGCAAAATGCATGTCTCTGTCGTGTTGATGACGTACAGGCTACTCACTGCAGCTCAGTGAAGCATGCACGAAGAATGCACAAACATGTGCATATGTTACATTAAGCATACATTAGGCGGCAATAAGGCTGCAAACGGCCCGGCCGAAATACGACCGTGAGAGCCGAGTAAGTGATGTGTTTGCTGCATGCAACTAGCCAGATGAGATGGGCCCTATGTGGCAGTACCAGGTTTCAGGGGAATGGTGCGAGCTCATGGCGAACGTGGTCTATATTCACTTGTGAGCACACATCGGGCATCGCTTAACTCTCGAAAAGCCCGCACTGGTCACCGGAGGGGTTGATAGCCCTTTTTAGTAAAAGTGTGCAAAAAAATGAAAAATTGGGGGACCCATGAGCCTTGCCTTTAAGAGTTGAACATGATAGTAATATTTTGTCCCTAGTGCATACCGTATCCTCGCATAATAAGCATACTCTAAACTTGGCCGCTGATCACCATATTTGTGCAATTGTAATTCAACGTCCTCTTACGTTAACTGAAGCGAGAAAAAAAAAAAAGACTGTGACAGTGCTGCGCCAGCTTAGCGAGCTCGCTGAGTGAGGAAGAAGTGCGGTTTCCTGAGTGTCGGAGTAACCTTTGCACTAGCATCGATGTAGCTTCGCCCGCGTGCGCTCTGCATCGATCGCATGTCCTCGTCAAGTGTGCCTTGAATTTCTTGTCGGGTAAAGCATCTTCTTTACCGCGTTTGCTACCTCGTCCGCAAATTTAAAAGCTTTTCGGCTTAGTGACGCGAGTTTCCACCTTTGCTACCACCACGCGGACTTATCGGCGGGCTTTTGTTGTCATTGATTTGCTGGCTGCGAACCTAAAGATCGTATCACACTACGCTGCTTTTAGATCAGCGCTTGAGTGTGATCTTTTCGACGGCCAATCTTTATGTTGTATTGTACTAACTTTCTGCGACAACATGCCGAACCGTTGCCTAGGCGTAATCCCTTTTGGTGCTTTTAAATGGCGGTCACGGGCAATCAAAGTTGCGGTTTTGTACAGAATCATCGCAACTCTCTTCGATAGCTCTACTTGAAGGAAAAGTGGCATCTGTCGTGCTTGTAACACTCAAATGGTGGTTCGCGATTCGGTTGCAATGTCTTGGATACGAGTTTAGAGCCCGTGAAATGGAACGATTGGTACCATTCAGCACACAAAATTTCATTCGTGATCCGCATAATCGAAGTGGCCTAAAACATAATCGGTGAATTTCTGCGATGACGCTTTCTTTGCGTAGGTCCTTTTTTTCCCGCATTCATTTTCTTACAACTGCGATTCTCTAGATGTTAACTTTTGCAAATTTAAATGCGCACTGCATCGCATATGTCTCGATTCTCAGATACGTGAGATTGCAAGCTAAACATGTTTTGCGCTAGTGTAGCCTACGAAGGAAATCAATTTGGCTGTAGTGCAAATTTTTGTGAGTTCGGTGGCATATACGCTGTTTCTATACTATTCAGAAATAAAATTTTCAGGAAGTTTTACCCCGCATAATAGGCGCACCCTGAACTTGGAGCTGGATTTTGTGGAAAAAAAGATCGCCTAGTATGCGAGTAATACGGTATTTTAAACACCTAATGCATACTTTTTTAATGTATGATGTTACTCGAGAAGTGTAAATTCTACATTACTACAATGTAATCGATAAAGTTTGAAAGTGGCTTGTGTTAGTGAAGCTTTCGTATATGACTGCATTTTATGTATTGTGGAGCATGCTTTTTTTAAACCATGAGCAATTATTCTCATTAAACCTTTTTGAACTTGCTATGCACCTACTATAGGCGCAGTAACATGTGTGCCTGTTGTAGAGGGTGGCCGTCTTTAAACCGTGAATTTATTATGATAATCCCATATTCTGAGGCCCAATGGCAATGTACTCTTGTATCACACATTATTACTGCGATATTACATGTATTTTGAAGCATGTATACAGGACACGTGTGTTTCTAAAGCATGAAAGTTACTTTCACTGCATTTACAAGCAGAGAAAGTTATTTTTTCGATATTTCTAAGAAGATGCATGGCTGTGTGGTAGAATACCTGCTTGCCCATGCAAACAACGCGGGTTCCATCCTCACTAGAACACCGAATTTTTTATTACTTATGTTTATTTGCATCTTTCTCGATTTTTCGGTCATGCACAAGATGAAGTTTTGCTCACAACAAACGATGTCGGCACGGGAATTTTCACGAAAGAAGCTCTTTCGTTGTGTCGCATTAAAAACGGTTTGGTCGCTAAGTGCATGTTTTTAAGAAGGAGTCCATATACAACCAAACTACTACTGATATAACAACCACTTTTTGTGGCACTTTTGATTTCGTTTTGAACGGGTGCTATTGTACCATGTTTCGAGACAGTGTTTGAAGAATAAATGTGTTTTTTCTCTTTTCATGCCTCCACTGTCATTACATTACATTAGCGGTATTTTTCTGCTGCAGTGAAAGCTTGTTAATTCACACCTCATTAATTCGAAATTTTGGATAATTCGAAATAGTTGCCGCAGTCCGGTCCACAGTGCATAGGCGACCATGTGTAAAACGATTTGTTAATTCGAACAGAAATTGCTGCCTCTATGGATAATTCGAAGCGTGCGCCGCCGAGCGTCATCATCGTCAAACACTAGTGGAAGCTTTTACGGCCGAACGATAGGTGGCACGACCGGTTTTTTTCGAGCTTCAAGTGGCCTCCCGAGCAAAGGGCGAGCAAAGTATAGCCTCCAAAATCCAGGGAGCAATTTTTTTTTTCCGTAGCCCTCCCGCTATCTCAGCGCCTGGCGCCACTTGTATACGCGAGACCCGCGGGACGCTGAGGAGTCGGCGGAGTAGTCCTAGCAGTCCTAGGCCGCACCCGGCAGCGTCACTTTGTTCCTCGAGCACGTTGTTCGTTCACGCCGTCAAGCCGTCTTATTCCGCATCGAAGTTGCAAGATGCCGCAGGGAAACTACTGCGCGAAGACTGTCAAGGAGAAGGTGAAGATTTTGCGAGAGGTCGACCAAGGGAACTCGAGCAAATATGAAATTGCGAGGAAGCACAGTATACCTCCGAGCACGTTGTCAACCTACATACGCAACAGGACGGCCATTGAAAACGCCTATGAAGCCGAGGATTTTGGCCCAGTCGAAAAAGGCTAAGGACAGCGAAGTTCCCGGAACTGGAGTCAGCTTTGATTATCTGGGTTAAAGAAATGAGAGCCCAGAGTATCGCATTGAGCGGCCCTATCATCATGGCCAAGGCAGCCGATTTCGCCCTGCGCTTGGACATTGAAGACTTTGTCGCCTCCGAGGGATGGTTTCATCGTTTCAGGGAGTGGCACAATCTCGTATTCCGCACGTTATCCGGCGAGGCAAAGGAAGTGGATGCCGAAACATGCGCTACTTAGAGAAGCGACACCCTGCAGCAGTACTTGGAGAGCTACTCACCACAGGATATGTTTAACGCTGACGAGACAGCGTTATTTTTCAAGTTTCAGCCAGACAAGATGATCAGCTACAAGGGAGATAGCTGTGCCGGCAGCAAGCGCAAAGAGCATGTCACTGTTCTGGTCGCCGCAAATATGACCAGTACGGAAAAGGTCCCCCTTTTTGTGATTGGCAAAGCACTCAAGCCACGGTGCTTCAAAAACATTCGGCCACTGCCGACAGAGTACGCCGCAAACAAGAAAGCCTGGATGACAGGTGAGCTATTCAGGAAGCGGCTACTGAAATTCGACTGGCGAATGGAACTGGGCGGCAGACGCGTTCTTTTTGTCGTCGACAACTGTTCGGCGCACAAAGTCGACGTTGAGCTGAGAGCAACAAAGTTAGTGTTCCTTTCAGCAAATACGACTGCGGCCCTACAGCCAATGGACTAGGGTGTGATAAGGAAGAACAAGTGCTTTTATAGGCGTCACGTGCTGGAGAGAATGATTTTGTGCGCGGGCGACAGGAAGGACTTCGGCATTACGCTGCTCACTGCCATGCACATGTTGGAGCGCGCATAGGAGCAGGTGACCGCGACCACAATCGCAAACTGTTTTTGCCACAGTAAATTTGCAGCTGGAAGTGCGCAAGATAGTTGTGACATCAACGTGGATGGGGCGGAGGAGCTCACTCCAGTGGCATTGCGCGACACTCTTCGGGGCGTACGTTTTGCCGATTATGTTGAAGTTGACACCGGTGCATCGGTGTGTGGTGCCCTGACTGATGAGGACATTATTGCTCAAGTAGCCGGTGCGCAGCCTGTTGCTGAAGAGCCAGAAGGTGAGGAAGATGAAGATAATGAAGCGCCTGTGCGCCTGTCAGCTTCTGCGGTGATGGAGGCACTTAATGTGGCGCGTCTCTTCTTCAGCTTTGAAGAGAGTGAAGAGGATTCCCTGCGCCGCGTCCGCGTGCTGGAACAGAGAGCTGCAGCTGTGGCATTCAGAGAAAAGAAGCAGATGGTCATCGCCGACTTTTTTGGCCAATAAATATTTTTCGTGCCCCCACCCCCGAAATCCACCCATTTTTGCTCACTTTCATTATTTCGAATTTTGTTTAATTTGAAATTGCTCAGCATTCCCGTGGAATACGAATTAACGAGCTTTTACTGTAGACACTACAAAAAGTCGCCCCTTGTGCTGCTTCTGGGTTTTCATTTTTTTTTTTTTGGCCACAGTGAAAAGTCACTCTTCACATTACATTTGGGTCAATATGATAACAAAATTGAATGTGTGTAGCACAACTATATGTGAACAGCACTGACTTGGTTTTACACCTGCATTACGATTTTTTGGCGGCCTGCCATGATCCTTGCGAGGGCTCTCTACTTGCGGACCATTTCAATGGACAGAGGGGCAATCTTCTTTATGAACTTTCAAGGCAGTACAGCAGTACAATACAAAGCTGACGTCCTTGCCTCAGTAAAGAATTGAATTCATAAATTATTTACAATATCCCAGAGGGCATTACAGGGTGTTCATGGTAATACAGTTTTGTGTGCTTGTGGAGTCAGCTGCATTTGCATGAAAACCATTCTGGGTCCTGCCATACTCATCACTTTTTGACACCAGAATCCGCCTTTTTCCTTTTCCTGTGTTGCCCTCTGGCATTCCGGTTGGTTTTTGGAGGGGGGGGGGGGCAGGGGAGAACTGGCATTGCTAGAACAAAGGCCTCCGAGACCAGGAAGGCGCTTCGCGACTTTTTTTGCTAGGGAAGGGCGCATGTGCTGCAGCATCGTGGAAAAGGCAGTTTGCAACTGGGTGCTTCAAGTCAGTCCTCGAGCTGTCGTATGCTCGAGCGAATTAGGTTTGCAGCCATGATAAGTGGGTGTTTGCTACTTATTGCAACAGAAGAAAATATGTAACATTTTTGTGTCAGTACTCTTTCAACCAAGTAGAAATCAAATGTGCATATGAATGTGCAGCAAGAAAAAACAGCATATCTCAGATTCTTTCAGTATGACATTCTTGGCAGATGGCTGCAATATGTATTTTGTATTTGCTGCCCTCTTTTTCACAGATGTCTTGCTCGCAACCTATAAAGGCCAGAAGGTCGCAGTGAAGAAGATCAAAGAGTCTGGCAAAAATATGCTCATCGCTGAGGCATCACTTATGACGTAAGTCTTAATATGTGTTTGATTCTGGCTTTGCTTTTCTCATCTCTCATGCATTTCTTTTCAATCAAATTGTCAGCGATAGCCTTACTGTTGTTCTAATACTGAACAGCTTTACTGTTGTACATCACACAGTTGTCATGCTTTGTACTTGACACACTGTGATGATCATCCAAATTAGTGAGTTGAGGTCAACTGTGATCGAGTTAACGAAAATTTGTTGCCATATACAGATGTATACACTTTCCAGGATAAGGGAATAAATCAAAATTATCTGATTTTCGAAAATAAGGGCCAAATTAACTAGCTTTTGCTGTAATACATATAACTTCTGTCTTCTGGGCTGAATACTTAAGATTTACGCGGGCTTAATTTTAAGGTGAAAGCTTTGGGTGGTTCATGAAATGCGAAAATTGACCTCAGCATCCCACATCCTCAGTGTCAACATGAATAATGCAAAAAATCATCACTGGGTGATTTCATCATATGACATCACAGACCATTAAAATTTGTGACATAATCACGTGACATCGTCGCTTGGTCAGAGGTGTGCTGATCATGGAGCCTGGAGGCAATGCAAAACCGTGTTAAACGTTGAAAGCTTTCGGAAAATTGCTTCAGAGAATTGGTACACGGATGGCAAAGAAAAAGAAGATGGCTTTTGCCTTGGAGTCTTAGGCGAATGCGTTAGAAATGCTGCGAGTTTTTATCAAAATTTCTGATATCATCACTATTAGTTTTCCCCTTTTTTTATCATTTACGGGGCAAGTTCTTGCTGACACTGTCAAGAGACTGCTCTAACATTTACGGCTGTTTGAAAACAATGCAGGTCCTTACGCCACCCAAACCTCGTCCAGCTTCTTGGCCTGGTCATTGAGGAGAACTCTCTGCAAATTGTCACCGAGTACATGGCTAAGGGTTCCCTGGTGGACTACTTGCGTTCCCGGGGACGGCTCCACGTCACACGAGTCGATCAGATCAACTTTGCCACGTGAGCATGTGCTTTCGTGTAGTGTAGTTATTAGAGTAGACTCTCGTTAAATGGAACTTGAAGGTACCTAGAAATATGTTCTGCTTAGCAGAAGTTCCATTTGCAGTGAGATGAACCAGGTTGCAGCATTCAGGTACTAAACAAATCAGGCAGTTGTTTCATCAAAGCAGCAACTGTATTTAAGACTTCCATTTACTCAGAGTCTGCTGTAGTTGCTAAAGAACACTTTGCATGAAGGTTACCAAAATGCCTCAGACGCGGAAGGGCATATCTTCATCAATTTTCCTGTAAAGGACCTTCGGACAATATTTTTCTGTCAAAAGAGCTCTCGCTGGACAGAATTGGCCTTTCTCTCCTGATTTCTTATCGTTAATGCAGAGAAATGTGTGTTTCGATATATAATTTGATGCTTTTAATTATAATTGAAGTTGTCCTCATGTCAATGGATTATCATTGCATATAGAACGGTATGTCTCAGCTGCACTGCTTAACTGAGGCGACAACATGTGGTACTTTTTTCATTAAGTATGCAGATGGTCTACTGACTATTTATTAATAAATCACTTATAACTATTGTTATCAGTGGAGATTGAATTTTTCTTTGCCAAATTCGCACTCCCGCTCTTTCCAACGTGTTTTTTTATTCTTATTTAAAATATTCAGATTAGCCAATTTGAAGAAGTTTACCCAGCATTTTCTTTTAATGACCATAAAGGTAAAAAAAAAATGTTTTCAGGTGCTGATGCATTGGTTACTCAGAAATAACAAAAATAAAAACGAGAAAGTTGGAATGTTGAAGTAGAATTTTGAGAACAAATCTAGACCATTTGCTCTACATTGTTATGAAGCAGGACTCTTTAGATTAGAGCAAACTACAATAATTTGAATGACTTATTTCGTGTATGCTAGAATTGTTACGAAGGCTCTTCTGTGCTAAGAATGTTGTGTGTAATTTCTTGCTTTCGTTGTTCATGCTGTCAATGTTATTTTTACTACCCTCTCAATTAATTGCAGAGACACATGTGCGGGCATGGCTTACCTGGAGTCGAAGCACGTTGTGCACCGAGACTTAGCTGCTCGGAATGTGCTAATCTCTGATGACGGCGTGGCAAAGGTGTGCATGCTTTGAAACACTCGTGTTATAACTGTTTGTGGGAGCATAAAAAATGCACTTCAGCTTTTTTAAACCCTTTCCTTACAGAGTATTCTGTCCAAGAATGATTCAAAAATACCAGTTTTTTGTTTGCCTATTTGATTCTACGTGTACTGAAACGAATACAAAAAAAAATATCAGCAGCACTTTATTCGTAAGTTACATGCAAATTGTCAACTTTTTTTTTTGAAAATGTGCACTAAGTTGTTCTTACTGCAAAAAAAAAGCAGCTCATACCTCTGCAGTCTTGAAATTAATATTGAAGAAGCAGTGTGCAGAAGCATACAAAAACATGCACACATAAAGGATGTACACACCATTCTCTAGTCTCCAGTGTAGAAAATGTGTACTTAAAATTTAAAAGATATCGTCTAAAGAGAAAATCCTTGAAAACAATCCTTGGACATGCTGGTGGCAATTTGTTTTCATCTAACAACGTCCACTGTCGATATGTTGAAACGCTGTCGTTGTTGGAATTCGATGATTTAGGTAAGCTGCACTGCTATGCGTTGTCGCTGTCACACTCGTAGGGTAACTGATATTCTTCATTTAATGAAACTTTGGCAAACAACAGCATATCTTCTGTGCAAAGCTGTTCTGGCACACGCACAGAGGAAGGCGCCATATTGTAAGTCCACCTACATGAATCAAGTCTTTGCTCTACTAAAATGTGTGCTTATTTCGTTGCAGACAAGCCAAGCTCGTCTTCGGTAGGAGTAGTACAAACTGTGTGGACAAAAGAAAAGGTTTAGCCGAATGAGGGAAAGAGGCGAGGGTGTAGGGAAAGGGTTTAGCGGGTCTAGGTGTCAGATTTTGTTCATATTAATGTCTCGGTATCATTTAAATTCAGTGCTGTATGGTGAATTCATCACGGGCTTGCAGGTGTCCGATTTCGGCCTGGCAAAAGATGAGAGTGACAACCTGGAGGGTGGCAAATTTCCGATCAAGTGGACTGCCCCCGAAGCCCTCAAATGCAACGTGAGTGATGCAACTAGCTGTGCTTTTTGCTCAGGTAATTTTATTAAGGGGAGACCTCGCACTAAGAAAACTTTTCGACTGCAAAGCTGTTCCAAGGCTGGACTGGACAGCAGATGTCTGGCCAGGGTGATTGTGCTTTGGGGTGCTGTGCAGGACGGCTCGAGCTTTTTGGGAACACGAGTTTGCTTCAAGCACACTTTACGGCTATGATGACAGGAAGACAGTGCGGAGCGCATGAAAACAGCTTTGAAGCTTTGAGAAAAATGGCTACAAGAATGTGGATGATGTCGCAAACGAGTGGCATTGCGGTAGTTTTCAAAGGAGCACCATGTGTGAACCCGTCAGCATTGCCCTTGGTCAACATTTGAACAATGCAGCGACGTGATTGTCGCTAAACATTGTGCCTCCCACAGGCAGGTGTATTTGAGTGGGTTTGTCTACTTTCAAGCAAGTTTTTTTGCTCCACCTGAAGCATGGAAATTTGCACTCTTGAAGGCAAGAAGAGCACACAAACAGCACTCTCAAGTAGCTTATTTTGCTTCTTTCAAATATTGCAGATAAATACTGCATGGATATGTTGCTGTTACAGTGAAACCTCGTTAAACCGTACCCGCGTAAACAGTTGTTTCGTTTTAAAAGTAGCGAAGTCAAATCCCCGACTCGGCGGCCATTAAAAATAATGCATTTTGTATCCGCATAAGCCGTACCAGCTTATCGCGTATGTATCGGTTAATAAGTAGTTTTTCCAATTTTCGTTGTGCACTCGCCGTGGCTTGTCGTCCCCCACTGGGCGTTCGACAGAACAGCAAGCCCCAGAGATTGAAACACGCCTTGCTTGTTTGTGTTGATGATGATGGCGGCTGTGTTGGTGAGCGCCATCTCTTGGACTGCAACAAGAAGCACTCGGCCGGCTAGGCTTCTGGTGTTGTCCACGCGATGGCACTTTGCACAAACACGCAAACACTGTGTGTGCTTGCTTTGCTTTCTTTGTTCCTTTGGCACCGTGCGTAGGTGTTCTCTGGTTGATCCGTGCCTTACAGCTCTCGCGTCGTTTTTCACGTTTTGTGTATGTGTGCTTGTGCTGCTTCGTACTTGCATCATGACGAAGCTGGGACAAAAGCATCGAGAACTGAAAATAGAGGAGAAATTGGACATAACTCGTGCTATTGAAAGTGGCACGAAAAAATCGGCGCTGGCACGTGAAAAGAACCTGCCGTTAACCACGGCGTGTGGAATTTGGAATTCCAGAGAAAAGTTTCTCGGCAGGGCTGCTGCAACTGCGAAAAGGTGCCGGCTACGCGGTTCGGCGTTTTCGGATGTAGAGGAGGCGCTGGTGAAGTGGCTAAAAGCTGCAAGGTCAGAAAATCTGCCTATCAGCGGACCTCTGCTCGTGGAGAAGGCCCTGGTTTTCACCTCGCAGCTCAACCATAACTACTTCGTGTGCAGCAATGGCTGGCTGGCCAGATTTAAGGCGAGGCACGGCATTACCACGAAGACTATTTCGGGAGAAGGTGCTGCTGCTGATGCGAATGGCGCGGAGCAGTGGCAAAATGGTCAGCTGAAGAACATCTTGGAAGACTATGCACCTGATAACATCTTTAATATGGATGAATCTGCGCTATTCTTTAAGCTGCTGCCAGACAAAACACTCGCGTTCAAAGGCGAGACGGGCACCGGCGGCAAGCATGCAAAAAACAGAATATCTGTGGCGTTTTGCGTAAACATGACTGGAACCAACAAAACTCCGCTCCTCGGGATTGGAAATTTGGCGAAGCCTAGATGTTTCAAAGGCGCCCGGTTGCCATCAGGGGTCATCTATCGCAGCAACACCAAAGCATGGATGACAGCAAAACTCTTTGAGGAGTACGTGCGCCTCATCGATCGTCGTTTTGCGGCTAAGAACAGAAGAGTTGCTATTATTTTAGACAAGGCTTCGGCGCACGTCACCCTGGACAACCTGACGACTGTGAAGTTGGCGTTTCTACCACCAAACACAACAGCGATTGCCCAGCCCTTGGACCAAGGCATCATTTGAGCTGTTAAACAGCTCTACAAGAAGAATCTGCTGCGCAGATTTCTTCTTGCCATTGAATGTGGCAAATTATTCTCCATCGACCTGACTGGCGCGATACTCGTGGCGGCAGGTTGAAGCAACGACAGTTCAAAATTGCTTCAAGCGCGCTGGCTTCAGTGTGTGTGCGGGCGACACAGATGACGCCAGTGGCACCATCGACCAGACTTCAGACATCGTAGACGAAGCTTGCAAAACTCTGCTAGCTGAAGTGCTGGAGCGGCAGGGCTTTACGGAAGGCATTTCCTTCCCCGACTTCAGAGACGCAGACAGCAATGTGCAGACATCTCCGGACATGTCTGACGAAGCCATTGTTGCCTCGGTTGTCGAAGTGTCGCCAAATGATAGTGATGAGGACGACATGGAAAGCGACAACACGGGTGGTCCAGGTCCGACAGTGGCCGAAGCTGCGCATTGCGTCAGCGTCATGCGGGTATTTGCAGAGAAGAGGGGGCTGGCGGAAAAGCTGGCTCACAGCATAAGTGAGTTTGAGGCCGCTGTCGTTGCTGCTAGGCTGCCGCCTCGTCAAATGAAGATTACAGATTTTGTCACGCGAAGTTAATAAATTACTGCACGTTTTTGTTCTTTCATCGTGCTCCCTGAAGGTTTCTTTTTTTGACAGGTAAGTGAGCAACCTGACGCTATTTCGGTTAAGCAGTACTACCGTTTAGTACGTACTTTTTCCGAGCTCCGGCCAACTACGGTTTAACGAGGTTTCACTGTACTTACAATACCCGTCCGAAAATTTTTAACCATAATGAATTGGAACAGTGTCTCCTCAAGCCACTAAATACAGTCGAGCCCGCTTATAACGAACCTGAGCGTGACGCTGCATCCGTTCGCTGTATCCCGAAGTTCGTAGTAAATGAAACACAGTTTTTAAAAAAAGTTGCAAGTGGAAACACAAACTTTTTATGCCCCAAAAAGTCCGTGATGCACGTGTTTCGAATAGGAGCAGCGATAAGGGTGGTCTCCAGTTCATTTAAAACGACAAGGTGCTCGTTCGCCGAGGCCCGTGGCATAAGCTGCATGAGGCACTGACTCCAAAGTTCTTTGATTCTCGCAATCCGATTCCTCCAAATCGCTCTTGCCACGTACTTCATTCACAATGCCCTAATCCGTGCACGGTTCTGCAGTGTCGGCGTCATCATCGGCCGTAATTAAACCATCGCAACGGATGTCTCACCCGCTCTCCCAGGTCGGAGTCGACGACGCGCTGCCACAAATCGCCGCCGCAGTGGTCCTGTTCGGAAGCTTCAGGCTCGGATCGGGCCCGACATCGACGAAGTCGGCCTCGCGAAAACAGTTTCGTGCGCATGTAGCCGTCACCGCCCCCCACGAAATTTTCACCATCTCCACAGGAGCGGCCCGCGATCCTACCCCTATAAAACGGGGGTGGAATCCTTCAGGACTCCCAATAAAAGTTTTTCATCCATCCATCCATCCACAGCTGAATACTGGGACGCCCGAAGCGGCAAGTTGGCTGCCAGGTGGTCAACAGCTATGAGAAAGTGCTCCGCAATGCGGCACCTAACGTGCGCATTGCGCTCAAGCCAAGCGTCACACTTTGGACACTTTGTTGAGCGGCAAGAAAAAAAAAGCATGCTAGTCCTCCCGCCGGCCATCATGACCACACACGCACACCAAGAGCGAGCAAGACACGCACACGCGACAAACGTGCCAGAACGCATGGAACAGCTCTGGGCCCGTTTCCAGTCAGAAAACGAAACTAATTCGAGCCAGCGTGGCGGGCGAAGGGGTTGTGATCAAGAAAGGAGAGCAGACTTGTGAGAGAAGGGCAAGTAGTTGCGATAAAGAGAGGGGTGCGATGCGGCGGGAGGGCAACCTTGAAAACCAAAACACACGGGAAGGAGGCAGGTTGGGTAGCGTGCTTGAAAGGTCCGCGAAACTCGCACGTAGAAAAACTTGGAAAGAGTGCATGGCCGCCTGAATCGGTGCACGCGGATGTGTTCGAAGAATCGGCGGCTGTGGTAAAAAAATCGTTATGTTGTGCCGGGGGGGGGGGGGGGGGGTTGCGTGGCCTCACGAGCTTCGATATTTCGCAATTTGTTCCGCGCAAACTAACAGCCGTTTTCGCGCTTCCGCACGCGTGTGGAAGGCATGCTGAGCTGAGTCCGAAGTGAGCGAGAACAAGTCGTAAACACGAAACGAATCGCAAATTATCAGAGTCAGTGGCCTAGCATACGCGCGTGCATTAGACACAAACTATCGGATACAGTCGGTGGCCGACGATGCTGGCAAATGGTCTGGCCACTCTAGGCCAGCGACGTCAATGACAGTACCAGTGATCAAAAACGGGGTAGATGGCCGACCGGTCTTCGAAAGATCGGTGGCAGTGTGAAAACGCAGGCCTCGTCTTGCGATGCGGAATGCTCAGAGTAGCGGGTGGACAAAGGACGGAGGGGTGCGTAACAAAAGCGGGCGGGGAGAGCGGCAACTAGAGGGGCGCGGAGGCAGGGTCGGCGTTTAACAATAAGAATGTATGGGCACCTCGCCAATGCCTGATCGGTGGTCGAAATTGGTTTCCCGGGAAGTTGGCTGACCGCCGACTCCGTTCGCTGTGACTGATCAGCGGCGCCTGGAGACGTTCGTTGTAAGTGCGATTTTGTGCCATTGAACCAATGTATATTTTCACGGTCATGCGGATATTGTTCGTTTTAAGCGAAAGTTCGTTTTAAGTGGGGCCGTTATATGTGGGCTCGACTGTAGTAACATTTCTATTTCTCACCAGAGATGGCATTAGGGGTGCTTCACATCTGAACATTTCTCTAGCAGTAACAATTCGGAAAAACGAACAAGTAAATAGTCTATGCTCCTTATAACGGACCCGCAAACAACATAGTTTAATATACAACGGACCATTATTCAGCCTAAGCTTGGTCTGTGTATTTTGATTAGGTAATCTTAT